TTTAGATTTTTTCTCAACTTCTTCGATAGTGCTTTTTTCAGTCACATTTTTTATTCTCTATAATAATTTTCGGAGTTTGTTGTGTTGATGCAATGTTGTTGTTGATGTTGCTATTGCTGTTGATGAAGGTGATGTTGTTGTTGATGTTGTAGTTATTTTTGTTGATGTTGTGTTGTTGTTGTTGTTGCTGATGTTGATGTTGTTAGTGTTGTGTTGTTGTTAATGTCCTTTCATTTTATTATCATATTAATATTGTTGAAAAGTTTTCATTTTGTTGATTCAAGTTGGACAAACAAACAAGCAGACAAACAAACAATAACATAAACAAACAAACAGACAACAAAACAAACAAACGAACAACAACAACACCAACAATAGTATAAACAATTTCATAAACGAAAGGAAATGAAGCAAAATTTTATTTCATCTTTTAAATTAAGAAATTAATAAGATGGCAGATTTCCTATATGAACTCATCTAGCATCACCTGAACAGAGATCACAACAGCAACATACACAAAAACAACATAAACAACAACAACAAAAACAATATAAAAAACAACAACATAAACAGCAACATAAACAACAACAATATAAACAACAACAACATCAAAAGAAGCAAAAATATAAACAACAACAACATGAACAACACAAACAACAAGGTGAACAACAGGATATACAACAACTAAAACAGAACAGACAACAACAACATACACAAAGACAACGTAAACAACAACGCAAACAACAACATACCAAACGACGGCATAAACAATTACAACAACAACATAAGCAACAAAATGAAGACTGAGAATGGCTGCATTAAAACTTTTAATGCATTACCATTTAATCCTGATCGTACCATTGAAATCCAAGCTCAACATGTCTACTTATGTATGTATGTATGTATGTGTGTATGTATGTATGTATGTATGTATGTATGTATGTATGTATGTATGTATGTATGTATGTATGTATGTATGTATGTATGTATGTATGTATGTATGTGTATGTATGTGTGTGTGTGTGTGTGTGTGTATTTTTATGCGTTTTTGAGTACATATCTGTAGATGTGTACGCATTTCCATCATCATTATCCTTTTTCTCTATCGTCATCTGCATATATTCCATCAAGCCTTATCAAGTCATTCCATCTCCATCCATTTTCAACATCTCGTCAAATTATTATTAATGTTATTATTAATGTTATTATTATTATTATTATTATTATTATTATTATTATTATTATTAATGATAACAATAATAATAATAACATTCTTATTTTTGTAATAGTATTTTTTTAATTAGTCTCATTATTATTATTATTATTAACATTTTTTCGTGGCAATAATAATGTAATTATATCATCATCAGCGTCATTGTCATAATTGCTAGTTAAATATTAATTAATTATATTATTATTATTATTATTGTTATTATGATTGTTGTTATTATTGTTTTTATTATTGATATTCATCCGGCAAGCGAGCACTGATGCACTTCATCATTTATTCATTGAGCGGGTATGGCGAAATAAAATAGATTTCATGAGACAATTTTGATTGATGGTTTGATTGATGTACTTGTGGTTGGCGTCTGTCGCGACTACCACTTCGTCATTGTCGTCGATGTTGTTGCGGTTGTTGTGGTTGTGTTGTTGTTGCTGCTGCTTTCGTTGTTGTTTGCTGTTGTTGGTATTTGTCGTCATTGTTGTTGTTGTTGTTGTTGTTGTTGTGCGTTTCTGTGGTTGTCGGTGGCGCTTGTCGCAACTACAACTTCGTCACTGATGTTGATGTGGCTGTTGTCGTTGTATTCTTTGTTAGCGTTTGTCGTTGTTGTTAATGTTGTTGTTGTCGTCATTGTTGTTTTGTGGTCGCGTTTTTTGTGAAGTTAGTGGCTTCTTGCAGCAACGCCTGCCGTCTTATCGCTTCTTTTATCGGAATGTTCCAGTTGTGTTTTTTTCGTAATGAAATAAAATAATTTTACACACACGTTTAAAACTTTTACGATGATGGATTTTTTAAGGTAGAATTTATTACCATCTGATAATTTGCCACTATTTTGTTCAAACGAAGAAAATCAGATTGAAGATTGGAAAGTGAGAAAATCTCTTTACGTCCCTAAAAAATTCATATTATGAAAATATACGATGTGTTCCTTGTTCAGAGTTAAATTAAGGATAAACAGGAGAGACTGAAAACTTGTCAAGAAATCCAAGCGATTCCAAATATTAATTGAAATAGTAATATAGTATACCATTGTATAAATATCATCTATCATCTTTCATTTATCATCTTTGTCTGAGTATCATCTCAACTTTTATAATTTCTCCGAAATCTGATACTTTCAACGCTACTGATCACAGTTGCTGGGGCTGAATAAATTTTTACCGGTTTATTCGTGCAAAAGTAGGCCTTTGTGATGTGAGCAAGAACATACTTGGGATTAAATTTATAAAAAATAACACGTTGATGGCCGTTAAATACGACTAAAAAAGACATGACTTGAGTATATGCTCTGTTTTCAAATGATATCTAAACAGTACTTAATGGCATTCAGTGCTTTTTCTTCCTTCCAGTTTAAAAGCGAAAATTTGTACCTTTTCCGCACTTAAGCATCATATAGAATCGGCGTGGAGATAATGATAATAACAAGAATGCAATGAAGAAGAAGAAGATGAGGATGAAGAAGATAATGATGAGAATGAAGATGAGGAAGATGATGATGAGGAAGAAGATGATGAGCATGATGAAGAGGATGATGAAGATGATGATAATGATAGAGAGACTGCTGGTGGTGTGTCATTGGCGGAGTTTGTAAGGATGATGGAATGGATTATAATGATGGCTCTCTCTTTCTCTCTCTCTCTCTCTCACTCTTTCGCTTTCTCTCACGTCGATACCGACAATGATGATGAGGATGATTAAGACAAAATAAAATTTGAATAAGAAAAATATTGGTGATGATTGAAATGATAATGATGATTCAACACTCATTAGAAGGTGAAAAACAACGAGATGATGATGGTGAAGATGATGATGACAGCGGTGATGATTACAAGAAGACGATGATAGTGATACGGATAAAATAATGATGAAATGATGCTGATTAAACTGATTGATAACTTTATTATTCAAATACAACCGATTAGATTCATCTATAAAGTTTCTTATCAGCTTATGAGCTAAAATTCAATTCAAAAGTAATGGTTACTCAATAGATGTCAGAAAACTATCAAGTTTTTTTGAACATAGTAAATATGGTACTCTTAGCGAATGAAATAAATTTATAATATGCATTCAATTCATATTATAACAAATTTATTTATCATTAATAAAATAGTCTTCGAAACATTTACATTAATTAATAATAGATTTATTTGATTTTTTTTATCATTGATCTTGCGTTTTGTGAGATTATTCGTCAGATCATTCACAGTATGTGTGTGTATGTGTGTGTGTGTGTGTGTGTGTGTGTGTGTGTGTGTGTGTGTGTGTGTGTGTGTGTGGTGTGCATGCATTTTCCAAACTGCTAACTTAGCTAACAAAACTCCACCGCCACATCTTCAACTGCAGCCACATTCTCCAGACGACCTCTCTGAACTTTGACCCTTTCATAAAGTAGACTACGGGGCATAGGGCGACACAGGCCAATCCCAGCATATGAGCGATATCCAGAAATAGGAAGTAAGCGCGTCCAGAAAGTTCAAGGTCAATGTTGTGGAGGAGGATGGTAATTATGAAGTACCAGGGTAGGAAGAAGGAGATGAAGATAGTTGCGACTGTCGTCAACATTTTGGCTTCCTTGTAGTCAATGGTGGTTGCGGTTATTTTATTTTTATGTTATTATATAATTTATTTATAATAATTATAAAAATGAAATTTTGTTATTATATTTTATTATAATTGCTGATAGTATCACATCATCTTTCATATCATGCCACCATCAACTACAACAACAACCCAATCGCCACTTACTTTTCTCTCACTCACATCATCTTCATCAGTGTCACCACCGGCAACGACTACTACAACATCGCCAGTACCACTAACAGCCACAACTTTTCCATTTGTCTTCTGCCTAATTTTATACCAAATGAGTGCGTGCGTTGTGACAATCAGGATGGCGGGTATGAAATATTCAAAGAAAGTTATCGCTGATATGTAGATTTTGATCAGCATGTTATCCTGGCTGAGAAGGCAGCAACAAGTTTCACATGTGAGGATGTCTTGTTGAATTCTGGATAGGGTGATGGTGATGAAAATGATGACGACGATGATGTTGGTGATGATGAAGACGATGACGATCGTGGCATAATACAAAAAAATCTCTTACTATAACTAAATGACAGAGTTTTTAACGGAATTGATAAAAAAAACCCTAACGCTGTCGTAAAAATGTGAGGAAATGCGATGAAGATTGCCATGCCCCAAATGAGACCCACCCACGCCATCTTCTCCCTCATCCAACGTCCACTCATCTCTTTCGTGACGACCTTGAACTTGCGATAGCCCATGGCCACTATGCTGAAGGAGATTGCCATCGTTACGCTAGACTTTTGTGAAAATTATTGTTTTCCATGGCGAATGATAGTTTGAGGAGCGAATTTTTTGTAACGAGAGAGTAAAATTAGTTTAGGCAACTTTGAAAACTCGAAGAGCCAAAAACTTCATCAAAATTAATAAAACGGGTGAAAAGATGTCACAGCAATAAAATATGCGAAATTTTATGAAACGCTCGGCTTCAAATATATCAAAAAGGTTAGAGACGCGTTAACTGGTAGATATGCTCGTATGCCGTTTGTTGTTGAAACATCTGAGAACATTGAGTATAAAAATATAATAAAATAAGTATAAAGAAAACAAAAAGATTAACTTCTAACATGAAACCACTTGGCAGTCTTGCAGAAAAACCATCCTCCTACCCATGAAGAGCTGTTGGCAATGGACACATAATAGAAGAACATTGCAAAAACACTAAGCATCATACCAGCTATCGTCTTAGAGGCGATCAAGATATTCATCATCGTTTTTTCGCTGAGGGTGATGACAAATAGTAAAAAAGAATTTCCCACAATGGAGATGACGAACAAGGTGAGGTAGGCGATGAAGAAAGTGTCCACAATTACTGCACTGAAGCAAGAATTACCTGAAACTGGGCTGGAGGGATTGCATGGGGAAATATGGGACGAAGGATCTTCTTCTGATTGGATTAGTGATATATTTTCATCCATTTCTCACAACTTTTCGATACGCTACAATGTTGTTATGTTACACAATTTATAATTGAAAATTTCTAATTTTGAAGATAATTTCTTTCCAGACTTTTATCGTTTCTAAATTTTTTATACACAGTCAATTGAATTTTTTTTGTATTTGAAGAAAATTGGTTCTCTATCTTTCTCTCTCTCTCTCTCTCTCTCTCTCTCTCTCTCTCTCTCTCTCTCTCTCTATATATATATATATATATATATATATATATATATATATATATATATATATACACATCTATACGTATGAGTGTGTTTAATTGTGTGCGTGTGCGTGCGTTTGTGTGTGTTTGTATTTTCCGTAGACAAAATAATAAGCCACACCCATGCGAAATTCGTAAACAAGCATTTAATTGGAAACAAATTTAAGGAGAAACAAGCTAATGATGATGCATCATTATTTGCTTGTTCGTTCGTTCGTTCGTTCGTTCATTTGTTCGTTCGTTTGTTATTCGAAGTACAAAGCTCTTTCTTTATTATGAGCGGATCTAAATTTTTTTTAGAGAAACATGAGAGGTTTAGTATTTTTCAATTCTTATTTTGTCATTTTTATCCGCTGTATCTTACAATTTTTCATCATAATTTTAATTGCTGAGTGAGAAAATTATTTTCGCCTTATTTGTTGTGTGCTACATTCTAGTGGCCAAAACCATTGTTTTGTTTAAAAAAAAAATATCTTTTAATCAATCACTAATGACGTCACCAACGATGAGGCACTTGATGACGATAGTGAGGAGAAATAATGACGAGAATTTTGGCTAGAATGATGGGGGTAATGATGACAATCCGAGTCCAGGCCAAAATAATTTTGGCAGCGTTTAAAATGTTATTGACCTGGGAGATAAACGAAATTAAACACGTAAATAAATAAATAAATGTTTGTGTGTGTTGTGTGTTTAAGTGCGTGCGTGAGTGTCGTGTGTGTGTGTGTGTGTGTGTGTAGGTTTGTGTGTGTGTGTGTGTGTGTGTGTGGGTTTGTGTGTGTGTGTGTGTGTGTGGTTGTGTGGGTACATGTATTTATATATAAATTAAACACATACACTGTTGCTGTATCGGTATGAGTGTAGGGGTTTGTGCTAAAAATATTTTTTAAAAATGTTTAAAAAGCCCGTTGGTCTCTTATTTCAACAACTACATTTGATGTAGTGACACAACAACTTGAGAGTTCGGTATATTCTTGTTGTTGCTGCGATGTAGATATTGTAGTGGTCGCAGTTGTTTTGTGGGTTTTCCCGCTCGTTTATCTTATTTTCATTGTTCTTTCCATTTCCTTTTTCCGTTGTTGTCATTATCCGGAAGCATATTGAGAGCCCCACCCCATCCTTTTTCCAAACCGAACAATAATTTTTTTATCCATTTTTAAATACCTACATAAGAAGAGTTGACAAGCAGCAAGGAACTGACAAAATGCTGGTTTGGCACGAATGCACAGTTTTGTTAATGTCAAACATATATATGTAATAATAAATAAAAACATTAATAATTGTCTCATGTTGAGTGAGCTACCAAAGAACTTTTGAAATGAAGTCACGTAAACCATTGCCTTCAACGTTCTGACACCCCTCGGAGATGTCGTCCCATTTGCTGAATGACTTAATAAGGTTTGATGGAATATATGCAGATGATGATAACGATTGATGAATGGGAGAATTAATATGGACTTGCTCTAGCTCAAAGTTTGATGGAATGTTGGAAAAAATTATTATAAATCAAACGAAATAGTTTAATGATTATTAGATTTTCCTGGCTTGTTAAGTCGAGTTCTTTGTTCAATTGATCAATCAATCAGTCAATCAATCAACCAATCAGTCAACCAATCATTTTATGAATCCACCAATCAACCAACCAATCAGCCAATCAATCATTTGATGAATTCATCAATCAATAAATACGTTTTTACTTTTTGTTGGTTTAAAATATTCAATTAATTTTTTTGTTGAAGTTTATTCTATTCTTCTAAAATTGCCACGAACGGAACATTGGATACAGAACAATTTCTTTAAATATTATACTACACATAAACAATTCTTATTGGAATCTAGAATCTATTAAGAAGTTTATCATTTCAAAAATTTATAACCCACAAATACTGCTTGCTACATACAATTATCCTAAATACTGCTATACTAAATACAATTATCCTTATCAATTACATCTTCATCATCATCATTATTATTATCAAATATTATTATTTTATTATTATTATTATTTTAAAAATTATTTAGCGCCGATGACGATAAAATAATCGATCTTCCTCTTCAGCAAAGTGTCGCCAGGGGCCAGTTGTTTTATTCTGAAGTAATTAAAAAAATTTGAGATAAAAATATTTTTATTTCCAGTATATTTTCCTTTTAACTTTTCAATGAACGAACGAAGGAACGAACGGAGAAACAAACGAATGAACGAACGATGAATGATGGATTTTTTTTTAATGAATATAATTATTAAAGATATACAATTGAATCCTACTTTTCGCTAAAAGCTTCGAGTACGTCTGGATAGGGAGGGTTGGTCCTCTTGTAGGATCTGTAGTTGCTCCAGGTGCTCAGGAACCCAACGTAATCGTCTACCGTCGTCTCGAGTTTTTGAACTACTGTATCATTTCTTTTATCGTGGAAGAATTTTTTACATAAATATTTAAATTTATTATAACTATTATTACAAACTAATTTAAACATGCTTTCATTTATTCAAGTATTTTTTACATAAATATTTAAATTTATTATAACTATTATTACAAACTTATTTAAACATGCTTTCATTTATTCAAGTATTTTTTACATAAATACTTTAATTTACTATAATTATTATTACAAACTAATTTAAACATGCTTTCATTCATTCAATTATTCAAGTATTTTTTACATAAATACTTTAATTTATTATAATTATTATTACAAACTAATTTAAACATGTTTTCATTCATTTAATTATTTGTTTATTCATTACTTTATTTGTTCTTTTGTTCATATTTTCCTCCTCATTCATATATCTTCTCGGGATTTCAATATTTAATCAATTCATTCACTCATTCGTTCGTTCACCTGTCCAATGGGTTAGCCCATTCATTCATGCATTCATCATTTTTCCATTCATTCATCTATCTATTTAATTAATAATTAATTTATTAATTCATTCAATCAATCAATTATTCATTCATTCATTCATTCATTCATTCATTCATTCATTCATTTATTCATTCATTCATTCATTCATTCATTCATTCATTCATTCATTCATCCACCTCTCAACGGTAGGAAATACAGATCTCAGTTCTCCGATAACAATGGCGTATTTATCATCAATTGTAGATCTTATTGGCGATCCTTTCAGTGATATGTCTACGTACTAAAAGATTATTATTATTATTATTGTTGTTGTTGTTGTTATTAATAATATTATTTATTATCACAATAATGATGATTGAAAGATCGATTAAATCAAATACCGGTTTACAAACCAACCGACACACCTCCATATTTATGTTCTCGATCAGTCCATCATCGAAAACTGGCACCCCGTAGCCAACCAGGGCTAGGACCCCTCCAGGCCTCAACACTTTCAGACATTCCTCAAAAAACTTGGGCCTATCGAACCAGTGTATCGCTTGGCAAACCTAAAAAATAACATACTCAACTAAATTCACGCTTCAGAGACCGTCTAACTGAACCGTTGATCAACAAACAAATACTGACTAGTATTAAATCCACACTATCCTCTTTGAAGGACTCTGATATTTTCAACGCATCTATGCATAAAAAGGTCACTCTGCTTGGATCATTTCTTCCATATTCCTAGTTTTTGAAAAATGTGATTTTTGTCAACAATTGATAGCTGAAAATTTTGATTTTTCATCATTTAATCGTTCCATCACGATAGAAACTCAATGAAGACTGAACTTGAAAAACACAAAAGAAGGTGAAAGAAGAAGGAAGAGCGTAAAATATTCTAACAATTGTAGCCTGCTGTATCTGAGACTGACTAGTATCGATACCCACTGTCTCTTGCACGAAATCCACCAGCATGAGTGTTGCCTGCCCTGTCCCGCAACCAACGTCCAACGCCTTGTTCCATCTTCCACGCTCGTTCCTTTTATATTCTTGAGGGTAAGAGAGAGAGAGAGAGAAATATGAATAGAGAGAGAGAGAGAGAGAGAGAGAGAGAGAGAGAGAGAGAGAGAGTGTGTAGAAGGGTACGTATATGTGTGTTTGGGTGTAATACAACTTTCTCTAAGAGCATCAGGCATTAGCGCTACTTTTGGAGGAAGAAAAAAGGTGAGAGGAAAAAGAAAGAGAAGAGAGAGAGAGAGAAAAAAAAAGAAAGAAAGAAAAAGTATGTGTTTGCCTGTTTATGTGTGTGCCTGTTAGTGTGTGAGTGTGTGATTGTGTGTGTGTGCGTGTGTGTGTGTGTGTGTGTGTGTGTGTGTAGAAACGTAATGGTACTAACTTTCCCTAAGATCATCAGGCAGTTTAGCGGTAATGTCAGTCAACTTCCGATCGATAATTTCGAATACTTCTTTCGGATAGCCGGGTCGGTATTTGCGGTACAGCTCTGCGTGCTCGCTATCTAAAAATAAATTGGACATCTCTTCTTTCTCTCAATATTTTTATTGAAAATTAAATTACTAATTATTATTTGTCGAAGGAAAAAATTTTGAAAAGCACGAAACCAAAACGAACGATTTGTTTGGAACAACTTGCGAAAACTACACCTTATATAGACTATCAGCGTAAAATGCAGATTCACTGTTAATTATATTAGCACACACACATAAACATACACATACATAAACATACACACACATAAACATACACACACATAAATACACACACACACACGGTTCAATAAATTAATGAATCGACATACAATTAAACATCACTAATTATATAAATATACCCTCTAACGAGAGTGTATTTAAAAGGTGCGTATAGTATGTGTATGTATACGTGTGTGTGTGTGTGTGGGTGTGTGCGCGTAATAAAATTATGAATGAATATTTACGTTAAAAACGTACAATTAATATGATTCCTATCTGGCAGGTTAATTAGTTACAGAGAAATATAGACTGCGTTTATTACGGTCGTTAACATCCTTCTGATGTCATTTCAATTTCTACCAATTGCTCACTCCCCTACTTTTGTTTTTTGTTTTCCCATATATTTTGTCTCTTAAGTATCTCTCTCTCTCTCTCTCTCTCTCTCTCTCTCTCTCTCTCTCTCTCTCTCTCTCTCTCTCTCTCTCTCTCTATCTATCTATCTTACTTTTTTCTTATTCAATTTCTCTATTTTATTAATTTAAATTCCTTTCATACCTGTTTACCTTTTCTCTCTCTTTTTTTCATTCTTTTTCTCTATTTCATTCGTTCATTCTGTCTATTTTTTTAAATAAAAAAAAACCAATAAAGAGCCTTTATAACATAATTAGGAACCCTCACAGAATATTTATGGACCTCTACTTTTTCGTTTTCCCGGGCCACAACTACATCTGAAAAATCCTTCCTATATGATCTAGCAGAAAATGGATTTTTATGAATTATTAACTAACTGGCATCATAAATTCGTCACTGACAATTTAAACGTATGGTTAATAACAAAAGCAATAATTGCAATATATTTATGATATAATAAAGTTATAACCCACACACGGTTCGATTAGAAAAATAATTGTAACAATCGCATCTACATTAGAGAATCATCACATCGCAGATATTGCTATCTACTGAATTAGATACATCAGGACGACTGCAATGTGCAACTTTTTAACAAAGTTAGCAGGGCTACTGGTCATCTAAGAATTTGAATTATCAACTGGCCAGTCTCGACTGACCGCAAAATTAAATTTCAGCTTTAAGGAAAACAGGCGAGCAATTTCTCCTTAAATGGTCTATTAGGAAAAATTCATCTAAAATTGGGCGTATTTGAAAAACTTTGCAATTTAGTTTACCATTTGATGTTTCCACAATCAACAAGACAACTGCATTTGCAATTTTGAAATTGTCAAAAAATATAACAAATTCAAAATGAAAAAACTCGAGTGAATTGAAATCGCATTAGAATTCTAGCGATTACCTTCTAAATATTCGCAGCATGCAATTTTTTACGCACTTTCGTAAGGATTGCAATATAGAACTTGATGTAAATTTCTGTCGGGGTTCCATGCACCACCCTTTAAACTCATACATTAATGTTAACATATTTGTAACATACGTGCTGAAATGGTCCTTAGATCGTTTACTTGGAAACCATGGATATGATATTGTTATAACCGACCCCTTGAACTTGTAGGGTATGGTTATTTCTCACTACGTGCATTCTTGATTCCTTAGCAGACTTGTTTCAGATGACTTTATTAGAAAGAAAACAGTGCTGGCAATCACTCGTGTGTATTGCCTTAATCGATCACTCGTTCGTTCGATCGTTAAATCGTTAGAATACAGCACAATAAATAATCAACAGGTAAATCACGGAATACAACTATTTGTCAGTAGTTAAGTTTCTCTTGTCCGACTTATAACATTGAGTTCTCTAGTCCTGGTATTCTTTACTACAGTGAACTTCCAGCTATCGGAATTTTACCTCTGTCACGAGTGTGTAACCTCTTGAAGATCCAACTTCTAACACCAGTGTCGTAACCTCTTCGACCTCGTAACTACCAACACCGATGTTATAGCTTCAGTACTCGCTATTTCTCCAACACCGTGTGTTAGCTCCCAACGATAGAGTTCAAGAGTTCGTTTATCCGTAGGTTCAGGATCTCCGATAGGTGAACACAACTTTCTCCTCACTTGTAACCTCAACTGGAAACCTCTTCTGACTAAGCCTCAATCGTAGGTCGTATTTATAGCCAATTTTACAATCATAGATACGATATATCTTTACACTCTATGGTTTACAACCCAAAGATTACAAAGATAACAATAATTGAATATTAAATGATATAGCGCAATTCGATCATTCCCGCGGTTAGAACAGTATTTAAAATTTGAATCATAAACGAACAGTACTGTTTACAAGAACAGATTCATTAAAAAAACTGATGCAATGACAGCCTTGTTAACAATGTTGTTAAGGGCACTGACGGTCATTAATAACTAGCCAGTCGCAACTGGCCGCAAAATAAAGGTCACTTGAAGCGGACGTAAGTGGGTAAGCATTTTATCTTTTTACCTGAAAGAATTTATGAAGTTTTTTTGATTTTCATTTTTGTTTTTTTGAAAACAAAAGTACATACAGTCAGTTTATGGATTATTCATTTATTTAATTTGTTACTTTATAATAGCGGAATGACAGACAAAAGAGGTTTTGCAAAAAAATGAAAAAAATATAAACAAAACAAAATCAAACAATAGGAACATAAATGTTGCTTACATTTTTTAAACTATTTATTTATATATGTAAAAAAAACTTAATCGAGGAAAAAAATTTCTGAATTTTTAACAGCAAAAATGCTTCATGAGGATATTCATTAACGAAAGGGATTGTAGAACAAATAGAAACAAATGAAACAAAAACAAATTGACTAAAATGATAGATCGTGATATTCAGTTTGTAAGATGGCAAGTTGGAGGACGTTTCCAATTGGAAAAGTTGGGATAAGGTAGTTTCAAATTTACCGTATTCAATGTAAATCATTTTTTTTTTAATTTCAGTCACACATAATTATTTCGTTATACTTGATAAAATTATATGTGTGTATGTGTTTATTTGTGCATGTTGTGTGGTGTGTGTGTTTGAGTGAGTGTGTGTGTTTGTGTGTGTGTGTTTGTATGGCGTGTGAAGCGACCACCACAAGATTCAATTTTAAAACGGTAAGTTAGTGAACATATCTTGAAAGCAAAATATTGAAATATTTATAAATATCTAGTATGTTTTTTGTGGTTCTCATATCACTTATGATTAATTCAAATCAACTTTGTAAATTTCAATCACAGATAAGCTTGAGTAATTATTGAAAACATTGCAAATTTGAAAAAATCTAGAACAATTATACTGGGCTGAATACGGCAAAGTATACGGATTGCAGAGGAATGTTTCTACTTTAAAACAAAATTCACCGATGTCATTAAATATCTTTTTGAATAAGATATATTATTCTATCTATTTCACAAATTTAGGAAATTTTGCGGTCAAAAATTAACTAAAAGAATAAAAAAAAACAGTTATTTTTTTATCTTGGCTAACAAGCACATTTCCAGACAGAGTTCGTGAATTTTTTTAATTTCCATCATCACATCTGCCTTCATACCGGTGACCATGGTCCTGATTAATTTACATTCATTCACGGTCACACCAATATCCTTCTCTACTTTTCCCAGACGTACGTTTAAATTCTCAATTTCTACAGTTAAATTGCTCCAGGTTTCAACTGTTTTCCCATGAGTCGGTGTTTCTCCTTTGGTGTTTTTTTCTTTTTCGCTATCTTGGCCAACAACAGCATTGAAAAATGCATTGTCCTTCCCTTCATTAGTTTCACAGGTTTTGATCAGCATCCATCTGTTTTCCTCAATATCGTAGAAGGTTTTAAACTTCAGAAGTCGCCTCATACAACAACTTGGCAGGTGTCTTTCGAACCACAGAGCCAACTTCAACGTACTAATCCTCCAGGCTGTTGATTTCATGGATTGTATGTCGGAGTAAGTGCTGTTCATCATGGCAATCAAGAGGTTCATGAGGACCACCGTCGACAAGACAGAGTAGATGGCGTACACGCCTCTCAAAACAAAAACTCTACCTCCAGAGTTTTTATACTTATCGTCATCTGTTATCTCGACAATGTTATCAGGGCTTAACATTCTGTAAAATGTAAAGTAAAGCGTGTTGATCGAGTGGCGAGATTCCGAGCTAAGGTTGTAGTCGGCTAACATCAAGACGTGCATGGCGTAACCGAAGCTGATGAGTACAAAAACAAAAATGTATATAAAACGAATGATGTCTTTAATGAAAATATGCTTCAAAATGCTGGCAAGAGCGTTCCAATCTTTGAAACCTTTAACGTAGGTAATTGTATGCAGCCAGCCGAGGATCAAAACCATCGCCAGACTCTCCAGATACGTGTGAGGATTGTCCGTGAAGGAAGCAATCAAGTACCAAACGAGTGCCGACAAGCTGAACGCCACTGACGAAGTGTGGGAAAGATTACCGAACAGAAAAAGTAGAACACCAACTGGAAGTTTCATCAAGCCGGATGTTATCTCATCCGTCCTCAACTCACCAAGTAAACCGCGTGTCCATTTTATTTTAACTTTTTTTACAGATGTGATAAACACGCAACCTAGAAATATTTCATATAGAAGTATCAAAATAGGCCAAATCAAGAATAGGCTAAAATATTCAAAAGTGTGGCTGAAATTAAAATCTTCATTATTTATAATTTCCGAAGTTTCGTTGGCATTTATAGAGGGCGGGTGAAATCTATAAATCAAATATTCTCTAGAAGGCATGATGAAATACGTGAATAGTATCATGTAGAGAACGTGGGTCCACATTAAAACCTCGTAACCCCATCGACAGAGGCTCCAGTACTTCGATATAAGGAACTGGAAGAATTCGGCGTCAAGAATGTCGTTGATGTACTCCTCTTTGTTTGTCTCCACGATATGCTCCAGACAGGATGTCATGCATCTTCCTCCTGGGTCGTCAACTGCTGGAAGTCGTTTCGCCGTCAGCCGATAGATCATCTTGTCATCTGAAAAATGATATTTGAAAAATTATATTATCGTTCCGTTCGGTTATTTATTTTTATCATAGGTTAACTTGTTACTTTGCAAAGTAAATTTAATGTTAATAAAATATAACTGCCTTGAAGCATTGTGCATATAACATGAAAATTTCTAAAATATTTTGCTGATATATAGATAGGCACAAACGAAACGAACAAAAACTTTTTTTGATTAAAAATACCTTCGTGAGCAGATTCGTTGGTTTGTTCCGGAACTTGTATAAAATAATAATAAATTTTTGTCAACAAATTATAATTGCGTTAACATTATTTTTAAAATATATTGAAGCACAAAACCTGGTTTTGCATGTGATTCCAGATCAATTAATTCAAGATGCTTCGGGTTCGTGGATGGAATGAGGTAAGAAACGTCAAACAACACTTCGTTCGGCTTTCTCTTAAACTGCAAAAATTCAGACAGACTCGATATTTCGTTCGATTTCAATTTGCCAGTCTGAGCCTGGCCCACGCCCAATGAGCAATCAATGGTAAACTTATAAACGTACGGAGTTCTTAAAATTGCTTTCAAAAGCTCACCGGTTCCGAGTTTTGAAGCGTATTGCAGAACATTACAGTCCTTGTAATACAAATCATTCGTGAGGTAACGCACGGAAATTAATTGGTACTGATAGAACTGCTTGGTGTTTCTGTATGGGGGCCTCACACCGAGACTCCAGCAGTACCACCTGACCGAATATTTCACAATTTTATAGAAGACTTCGATGTATTTATCTGAATGCGCCAGATCAGCTTTATTGCTTTCAACTATTCTGTGCAGTATGGTGCAGTTTGCATTATTTCTTAAAGTCATGTTGGCTCCGTTTAAAATCAACAGCTCAAATATTTCTGCATTGCCCTTTTCAGCACTCATGAAGAGTGCAGATTGCCCAAGCTCGTCTTTAAGGTCAATGTTGACCTTTTTAGATTTGTAAAATGTATTAATTAAAGCTTGTACTTCCGAAATGGTCCCATATTTCACTGCAGATTGAAGTGGGATTTCTCCATCTTGGTTCTCTACCTCCGGATCTAAATCCGAAAGAAGTTCAACCAAATGTGAATTGGAGTACTTTACAGCGAGATGCAACGCCGTGTCTCCGTACAAGTCCTGACTGTTTAGCAGGGGGTAATAATTCTGTTTCATCTTCTCTATAATTTTTTGAACAATTTCCGGTCTTGTGATAATAGAAGAAACTGCAGCATGCAGCACGTTTTGAACGTAGATGTCTTCAAGATCAAACCTGGCGTTTTTTTCTACTAGTACCAGAAATGACTCTAAGTGACCTTTTCTAACGGCCAGATGCAAGGCAGTTGCTCTTTCCTTGTTTTGTAAATCCGTATAATCGTCATATTTTCTGAGGAAATGATCAAGAACATTGTAGGCATTGTTGGCGGCTGCCGTGTGGAATATGGTGTTGTTGTTGTTATCGATGTCCAGCAATTTCACTTTATCGCAGTCGAGAATGAAATTTATTTTTTCCAGATCGCCAGCTGCAGCGGCGGTGTGCAGATAATACGGCTTCACGATCATGTCAGACTTGTCATGTTGCATCAACAACTGTAGAACTTCCGATGTAGATTGCCTCATAGCAAGGTCATATATCGTTTGGAGTTTATTGTTTTTAACGGTGATATCGGCTGAGTACTGCTCAATTAATAACCTCACTGCATCAACTCTGTCGTTATCGGCCGCTATCAGAACAGGAGTGTTCGCTGAATCGTCTGTAGCTTCGACCAGCGACCTGTCGACAGTTAAAATTTCAATAATCGTTTCCAGGTGACCCTTCTTAGCGGCAATGAACAGGGCATCTTTAATGTTTTCCTCTTTGATTCGTTTTATGATTGTAGAGCTCAGTAACATTTTCATGAGATGATGGAAGTTGTTAGATGCAACGCATTCCACCACACTGCGAGGGCTTT